CCCTAGCTATTTTCAACTATCTCTTGCTATTTTCAACTGCTCCTAGCTGTCATCAACTGTCCCTAGCTATTTTCAACTATCCCTAGCTGTCATCAACTGTCCCTAGCTATGATTACAATTTGAACATTTTTTTACTTTAACGTGTAAATTTTAACATTGGCGTATCTAGGGGGCTCAGGATTGCCTGTGACCCCATTTTCAAAGCCAAAGATAAATCATCTGACCGTTGATGCAGTATGTGATATGATGTCATAGTGACAATTTGGTATGTCGTGACCCCCACGCCCACCCCCCCTCCCCCACACACACACATGACAGATCCTGGATTAGCCCCTACTTAACGTAATTCAGCCATGTTGCCTGCAAGTTTTTAAGTTCATTAAACTATATAAGGGGAAGTTAATCTATATAAGGGGAAGTTAATCTATATAAGGGGAAGTTAATCTATATATAGGTACAGGAAACCATTAGTAGAGAATGGTGAAAATAGCTAGGAACAGTTGATCATAGGTAGGGACGGTTAATCATAGCTAGGAACAGGTAATCGTAGCGAGGGAGAGGTGAGGTATAAGTGTGGAATACTTCTATGGGAGAGTATACGTAGCGACTATATGACATTCTACCATGAAACACATCCCTTCCAGGGAAAACAAACACTTGATCGATCGATAAAAGTCAATAAAATACACAAACTGGACGACAAACTCGATGGAGATTCAATGTTTTGGCTGGTTTCAGGTGGTTTCAAGATGGTTTCAGGTGGTTTCAGGTGGTTTCAGGTCGTTTTAGGTGGTTTCAGGTGGTTTCAGGCCGTTCCTTGTTTTAGTAACAGTACCCGCACGAGTTATATGTTATTGTATTAACTACAGTAATAATTTTTGTTTTGGTTAGCTAAACGTATCTATTTCTAGTCGAATATTTTTATGAAAAAGGGATTTTCATGCCGAAACCTTCAACGAGTGGATGGACGAAGAATTTACTGCGTCATAATTTACATAAAAGAGTACTCACACGAGTTTTATATTAGTTTATTTATAGTTCATTTCACGGTTTCCGACGCCATATTGTTTGGGCAGAAGTGTAGGGAAAGAGATACGTTTTTCGTAATATTTCCATTCTGAGGTTACCCTGCAAGCAAAGTCTCCTTTACCTTCCCCCGAGTGAGAGAAAGGAAAGAGTCTTCTTTCCTTTCTCTCACTCGGGGGAAGGTAAAGGAGACTCTGCTCGCAGGGTATTCTGAGGTAAATTTTCGAGACCAAACTTTTTCTGTAGATGGAGAATCTTCTGTTCAATAATGTTTTGTGTGGTGTTTTTGAGCCGATAGAGCCACCATAACACTGGTTCTCAGAGAGACGGAGGCTTGCTTTGGGGTTTGCGAACAAGACTCGTTTATGCTGGTTCAATTTGACCGTAAAAAAATATTTAAACCGAATCCACGGACTTTCTTCTGTCTTACAATGACTAAATCCCAAATAGTCTTGTACTCTATTCAAAGTATCCAATGTGCMCAGCACATTTGACACGTTTTCCCGTGTCAAAACTTGTTATCATTGTTTTATTTTTTCTGTCAAGGGGAATAACCTAGACACGAAAGTGGGAAAATCAGTCAGCTCACAGACTTGTTAGCCGTGATTTCCATAATATGGAAATATTTAATTTAAGCTCAAGTGATAACCTCAGCTAAATGAAAGTTTTGCGTTAAATCGTAGTTAATAGTGGGGAATGGTTAGGAAACCTATTGTTTTCAGGTCTTTGTTCGCTTGTGATGTTTGATTTATGTTCATCCGAAATCGGCAAAATAAATAAACATAAACTTTGTCTAAGGGATTGTTGTAAGGAATATTGAAATATCTCATAAAAATCTTAAAGTATTTTGAACTAGCTACCAAAAGAACGATTTTGTTCTGTTCACTCAGCCATTGCCAACAATGGTAAAACAATGGTAAAACAATGGTAAAACAAAGGTCTGGTGCACGGTCACGCTTGAAAAACGTGAGCAATAACCTATAACAATAGAGTTTCCTAACTATTAACTATGGTTAAATGACCTTTTTTTAAATACAATTTTCAAATTAGTACTTGGATATATCTTGGTTTTCTAAAGAGGAGATGCCAGGTACCAAATACATAAAGCAGTTTTCGTATGACGTTGAAAAAAAAAAACAAAAAAACAAAAAACGTAACTTACGTCATGGACCGCACCTTGCCGTGACCGTGTCAGCCTTGTCCATTAAAAATCACTTGACGTGTCCGCGCCGTGCTCCACCGCAACCGTGCCGTGTGTCGTGACTTTTCACATACGAAATCTAAGCTAAAAACTACTCCAACTTGTATTTATTTGTCTTTTTGAGCCCGTGAAAGAATGAAAAGAGTCAAGTAAATATGACATGGAAAATCCTTTTTTTCACACAAGAATATAATACTGTGAAAAAAAGTCAGTTGATCGCAAAAGCAAAATATTACATTTAATCTTTCTTATTTTTGTAGCTTTACCTCGTATCAACTATCTGACCTCCCACCTTTATGGTAATCAAGGAGATTCCATAACATTAAGATGTAATGCCTCTGGTAATCCAGCACCTCGTGTTACATGGATACACAAGGATGCGAACAGAACAATTGCTAATTCTAGTGTGACGTCATTCAACATCACTGGTAAAACATCAGGAGGAGAGTATTGCTGTCACGTGTCAAGCCGTTTTGGGAATGAGACCAATTGCACGTCCCTTGAAGTAATAGGTAAACGGCTTGACATAAACTTACATATTTTCTTTCTTTAATTTTTCATTCTTTCTTTCTTTCTTTCGTACGATGGTACGCCCAAGGTAACAACCTACCAACCAAACATCCAAAACAAAACAAAAAAACAAATATATATCATTATCATTGCGGGCTTAGCCTAAGCAATGTGGATTAAGTATACAAAATAGTATTTACATTGTATTGATAAATAAAAATTAAATTTTGCAATAATCTATAAATTTGGTATGATACAAAAACAGAAAAGAAAACGAATTAAAGCTAAAATATACTGAAAGTTCTCAATTGAGTATATAGTACATGAAGCTAAGATAAACTTTGAGATCTTCAAAACTAAAATGAGTCTCTCTTTGAACTACACACGCATGAAAAGTTTAACAATTTCACAATTCTGTGAAATAAACCATTTCTGAGAGCGTTCTATCGTTAGGCTAGCTAATTGTTGTCCAAATAACGCATTCAGTTCTTTACATTAGACTTCACGAACATTAATATTGATCGTTGATTTTTTTCCTTTTCATTTTTTTAATGAGATAACTTCGAAGATAATGGTATGTTTATTATGTGATCAACACAATCAATACTTTACATGTGCATTAATCCACTGATGAGAGGATGGATATTTTTGATTTTTTTTTTCCATTTCAGATGACGATGGATCCATTCTTCCTCCTGAAAATCTGCCGCAAATAATCATAGTTATCATCGTTTGTGCTCTACTATTTGCTGTTGCCTTGATACTGGTTTATGTTCTTATTTCGCGAAAACGGAAGCGGTCAAAACGTGATGTTGTCAGTGGTAAATGAGAAGATAATCACTTACGTCAGATTAATAAACTGTTTCTGCGATTTCTGCGACCGCATCTTGGATCGCAATGCATTTTTAGCGTTCAGGGGCAAATGGAGCTTTATAACGAAAATGAGTTCGATTGATATTAACATCTCACCAAAAGAGAACACAACGAAGGAAATAAGACGACACATCATCGATCACATTTACCCATAAAAGAAAGACATACGCACGAAACTATATATATATTCCGTCACTATTGAACTTTTATTCTGCCCCCAGGCAAGATGGCTGCCGCATCATAATTGATTCGAACATTTTGAAAACTAATGTCAAGCTAATTTTCCCTTAAAAATCCTTTTATATATTTATCATTACGATCTGAAACTCCAACTGTTTACTAATATCGAGGTCCCCTAATATTTTTTTTGTAATCATTTTGAAGCAACTGATAGATTCAAGGGATGGGGTCACCTGACCTGTTAGTGGAAATCACCTATTTTCAAACAATATTGCCCTTCACATCTAACTGATTTTCCTCTTTATCACTTTCAGGCACACAGCAGCAAGACCGGGGGTAAGATCCAAAATAATCTCTTAAAGTCATATATCACATTAAAAAAAGATTGCTGTTATTGTTTGAGTGGCGGCATGGCTGATTGCTAATTTCTTAATTTGTTTGCTGATTGGTTCGTTGTTTGGTTAGTTGGTTAGTTGTTTGGTTGGTTAGTTGTTTGGTTGGTTAGTTTTTTTGTTTTTAGTTTTTTGTTTGTT